TCTACTTCTTACATGTTGAACTCAAATACCTGTACTTTCTACTTCTTACATGTTGAACTCAAATACCTGTACTTTCTACTTCTTACATGTTGAACTCAAATACCTGTACTTTCTACTTCTCTCATTTTCCAAACAGGCTGGTTCCTTTAGTCTGAATGTGTGTTTGGTGGCGTGATCATTATTATTTAGAGTCATTGCGTGCCTATTGATTTGAACACGATCCGTGTATCCATCATTTCCTGGTCTTCTCTAAAGAAGAGGGACCAATGAAAACGTTGTCATGTTGCCGTTGGTCACCATGGAAACATTCATTAGCTAACAATGACATTATTGTTCTATTAATATAAAGGGAGGTCAGGTACTCTTTAAAACAGCTGCTAGTTATGGGTACTTTTTACTGAAGTACATTTCAAAGCCTCTTTACTTTGACTTGAGGAAAGAAGTTTAGTCAGCACTTCTAGTATTTTTAAACATGAGTATCTGTACTTCTACTTGAGTAAAGGATGTGTGTACTTCTACTTGAGTAAAGGATGTGTGTACTTCTACTTGAGTAAAGGATGTGTGTACTTCTACTTGAGTAAAGGATGTGTGTACTTTTTGTTTTCAGGTGGTGTTCAGGGCGAAGCGAGGGATCAGCTATATGGGCGACGTGGTGATCGATGATGTCACCTTCCTGCACTGCGTCCCCCCCCCCTCCTCAGGTGACCCCTGCACACCTGAGCAGTTCACCTGCAGGAACCAGAACTGCATCTCCCAGGATCAGCTGTGTGACTTCATCGATCACTGCGGGGACCAATCAGACGAGGAGCCCTACATCTGCCGTGAGGAACCCTCTTTTTCACATGAAAATAAAAGCCTTGAATGTTGAAACTTTGAATCGTGAACATCGTCCCGTTGTGTTTTCAGAAGGTTTCAGTTCTCGCTGCAGCTTTGAGTTCGATCTCTGTTCGTGGCGTCAGAGTCGAATGGATGATTTTGATTGGCTGATCAAAGCGGGCAGCACTCTTACAGGCGGCACGGGGCCAATCAGCGACCACACCCTCAGAGACCCCTCCGGACACTACCTGTACCTGGAGGGCTCTTTCCCTCAGGCAGCAGGACAGTCCACCCGAATCTCAGGACCCCTGCTGAGCCGCCGCAGCAAACACTGCCAGGTGAGGGGAGTAATAATAACAAAGCGGAATGTAAACGTATAATAAACGCATTATTTTCTTTGAAAGGTCTTCATATTTATTACGGTGGCATCGACCCGCTCCTCTAACTCTCAGCAGGGAAGATAAAGGGTTCTCAACTTAAACTATTCCTTTCACTATTCCTGTGTGTGTGTGTGTGTGTGTGTGTGTGTGTGTGTGTGTGTGTGTGTGTGTGTGTGTGTGTGTGTGTGTGTGTGTGTGTGTGTGTGTGTGTGTGTGTGTGTGTGTGTGTGTGTGTGTGTGTGTGTGTGTGTTGTCTGTCTGTCTGTCTGTCTGTCTGTCTGTCTGTCTGTCTGTCTGTCTGTCTGTCTGTCTGTCTGTCTGTCTGTCTGTCTGTCTGTCTGTCTGTCTGTCTCTGTCTCTCTCTCTCTCTGTGTGTGTGAGTGTGTCTGTGTCTGTGTGTCTATGTGTGTCTCTCTCTGTGTGTGTGTGTGTGGGAGTGTGTGTGTGAGTGCGTGCGCGTGTGTGTGTGAGTGCGTGCGCGTGTGTGTGTGTCTCTCTCTCTGTGTGTGTGTGTGTGTGTGTGTCTCTCTCTGTGTGTGAGTGCGTGCGCGTGTGAGTGCGTGCGCGTGTGTGTGCGTGCGTGCGTGCGTGTTGATTGACAGCTCAGTGTGCTCTGCGTCTCGTCTGTCTTATCCCTCTCTGGACCTGTCAACCAATCACACAGCTGGCGAAAAGGCACCAATTAAAGTGAAGGGAGGGAGGAAGAGGAGGAAGAGGAAGAGGAGGAGGAGGAGGGAGGGAGGAAGAGGAGGAGGAGGAATGGGCAAACGCTCTCCTGAGATGAAGAGCGTGCAGCAATTTGTTAAAAAAACAGCATCAGTGCCTCAGTGCAGCGTGAGGGAGAGACTATGTTTTGTTACTGCTTTAATAAAGACAAGGAGAAAGGGGAATCGATCTAGAGACATGATTAAACCTCACCCCTCTGTTACAATGGTTTCTTAGCCTCCTTCTGAGAAAGCCTAATTGGAAAGAACGCAGAGTTAACGAGCAACAGCAAACAGAAAAGTGTTCAAAGCAAACAGTCTGTACTCTGGGCTCTCGGCAGACGCCTCTCAGCTCCTGTCACATTTCTCTTCTCTCCACCTTAGCTGTATACATATTTTATATATTTTATTTTATATATTTTTATATTTTACTTTTCTGTTCGGGATTGTGGGAAACGGTATTTCGATCTCTGTCTGTTCACACAAACTGAAAGGTTGACAACAAAGTTGACTGTGACTTCTCTGCAGGTGCGTTTCTTTTCCCACATGTCAGGAGAAGGCATCGGGACCCTCAGTGTGTTCAGAGGAGGTGAAGAAAGAGGCTTTGATCTGCTGTTGAACCTGACGGGGGATCAGGGTCACGCCTGGCAGAGGGTGGAGGTCCAGCTGAGCCGCCAAGAGGAGGACTTCCAGGTGGTGTTTGAGGGCAAAGTGGGCAAAAACCCAAAGGGAGACATCTGCCTGGACGACATCAGCTTCTCCTCAGGGTGCCTGCTGGCTTCAGAAGAGGAAGACAGCACTCCCCTTCCTCCTGCAGGTAAACACTGGTTTTACATGATCAGGCATGAAATGTGTTGGAAAAGTCTCACTGGTCACGGCTTGAGCTTCAAATCTCAAAATTCTGACTTTTCTCAAAAAATTCTGACTTTTCTCAAAAAATTCTGACTTTTCTCAAAGAATTCTAATTTTTCTCAAAAGATTTTGACTTTTCTCAAAAAATTCTGACTTTTCTCAAAAAATTCTGACTTTTCTCAAAAAATCTGACTTTTC